TGTCTTGGGCTTGTTTGGGTTTGGTCTTCCTGGAAATAGAACAGTTCCAGCAGCACATTCACCTTGTTGTGACATTAATTCCCCAGTGTCACAGCATTTTGGACAGTACAGTCTAACACTGTATTCACTCTCTGCATCTACTCCAGACTGTGATACAAGCACCTTTATTGCTGCAATGTGAAAAATGTGTGCTTCAGATTTTATTTATTTTAATGTATACTCCATATTTAGCTTCCCACTGGTCAGAAAGCATGGTTTGTTTGATTGCTTAAAAATCTGTGGGGGCCTAGGCTGAACAACTGATGATGGTGTTAAGTTTACCAGAAGCCCTTTTATTTATTTTTTTTTTCTTTATCCTTATTTGGAATGTAGGTTTACTGAGGAACTTAAATTAAAGATCCAGAAAGATGCCAGAGACCGTCAGTTACAAAAAAAATCCAAAGTCAGCAAAAGGGAGAAAGATGATGTTCTAGAAGAAAGAAAATTATTCAGTGTCCAGGTTGGTCCATCTTTTTTTTTTTGTTTTTTTTCCAAAACTGTATTTTGGCTTTTTTTTTTTCATGTTTTAAAATCATTTTATAAATGTGTGTGTAGCAGTTAAAATTCATAACAAATGGCATGGGAGTCTGCAGGTGGATCTTTGGCCAGTCCCTTGCAGGTGAACTACATGGTGATGCAGTTCCTGGCAATACAGAGCTGAAGGGAGAAGCAGTTGGGGAGCATGTTGAATCATGGAGACATGCTCTATGCTGCTGTTTACCTGTTTTAAAGCCCTGTCTCCAAATGAAAAATTAAAAAAAAATTAAAAGTTAAAAAATTAAAAATTAAAAAAATTGAAATAGTTAAAAAATTAAAAATTAAAAAATTAAAAATTAAAAATTAAAAAAATTAAAATAGTTAAAAACTTAAAAATGAAATATTTTGCTTACAATTGGGTAGTAAGGAGGCTTCAGAATGACTTTGAGATGACATCGGGCTCAATTTTTATTTAATTTCTTTGGAAGTGGCACAGGATGTGGCTGCTCTTCCTCCATCGTTCCTGATTCCGTTCTGAAGTGACTTTATTTACAGAGGGTGCTGGAACCCTGACAAGTTTCCTCCTGTTTGATGGAAACCAGAGGTTTTCTAATAAAAACAATTCCATCTCCATCAGATCCTTGCGGAATCGTGCATGTTTAGATTTAGGCTTTTGACTTTTTTTTTTTTTTTGTCCCCCTGTATGTGCTGCTGCAAGCTGCTTTTTTAACATGACAGGAAGGGAAAGGTGATGCTTTATCTTCCCAAACAGGATTTTGGCCCAAGGGGCAGAGAGGAGAAGCTGTTGAAGACGAAGCGCTCTAAAGCCGATGCGGAGAAAACAGACCGAGCCTCCAACCTGAGCTTCCTCTACGACAGCGCCGTCAACCCGTTCAAAATCAGCCCTCAGACCAGCCTGAAAGATTCCAGCAGCAGCTTGGACTACGCCAAGAACACGGGCATAGTGATCCCTCCCATCAACCAGAACTTTTCTCCTACCTTTGGGATGGGCCCCGTGCCCGGGAGCCTTAATTACAGGTATGGGAGCAGAGCTAGGAGAGCTCCATCATCCCTCTTGCTGAGGGACTGGGATGTGGGAATGTGACTTTGGGATATCTTGCCTCTGTTGTTTTTACATTTGCTGCCTTACCTCGATTAATACGAAGTTTGGGGCGTTTTTGATTACAGACTTGATGAAAAGAGTAAAAAATACTTGAACCCATTGCTAAAGCAACAGAGGCCTTCTCCTGCAGGCCATTACAGCGTCAGCCTGACACCGGTGAGTCGCCTGTCTTTCCCCTTTGGCAAAGCAAATATAAAATAAAAGTAAAACTCAGGCCCCAGTTACGTGTTTAATTGTCAAGAATTCCATCTGTTCCATCCTTCACCGTTGCTCCCAACTAGAAATGCTCTTTTCTTTGCCCCTTTTTTTCCCTACAGGTTCATTGTCTGTTATCCTTCGCTAATAGTTATCTTCCATAAAACATACTTTGTGTCAAAAAACAACTTTAAATGCTGGAAGCAGTCCAGCACAGGATATCTGGAGTATATCCATGGCCTCCTGCCTGGCCAGGAAAAGCAGACCATGTGTGCTGTGCTACTGAAGCAGAAGTGAGGGGTTGGATTTAATGCAGTCAGGGCCTTGTTTAGTCATGTCATAAATGCATTAAAAATTGATAAGGAAAACAAGTGGAATGGAAAGTTTTCCACTGCTCTCTCCACCTCGGCACGATTCTTTCTATGCCAGCAAGGAACGTTTGCTTTTTTCCAGATAACTAATCCCAGCCATTCTCCAAGTGGTACACTTTATCTCTCAGAAGGCAGCCTCACTTAGATGATTGTTTTTATTTTTGCTGCTGCTTTTCCATTGTTTATAGTGCAGAAATGAGCCTTGAGCAGGCTGAATTCCTTCACACACATCAGAGCCTTTTCTTGTACAAATTCCAGCTACAGCAGAACACTGCTGGGCTGATGCTTTTTTTTAACCTTGAAAATAGCATCATTTTTTTTCTCTGTTTTCATGAGCTGGTCCTTATGCCCTTGATTACAGGTTACTAATGAAAAAAACATCCTTCAGGCGAATAGGAAAAAATGGGAATTCTCCAAGGCAGATGTGCGTTTGCCAGAACTGAATCACCTCCCCGAGCTGAGAGGAGTGGAAGGTAGGAGCTCTGATGTCCTCTAAATAAAACCTGGGTACTAAATAAGTGGCAGTCAGCTCTTGTTTTCACTTCACGCTGCATGCCTTGGTTGTGTTTTGCAGCGTGGCATCCCAGATTTCTGAAGAAGGAAAATAAAACAGTTCCAGAGTCCCGAGTCCCCTCCCTCGCCGCTATCGACCTTCATAACTCGAGCCTGTCCTCGCAGCAGGTATCAAAGCAATAAAATGGTTTGTGTTGCTCTGCATTTGTTTGGTTTGTGACTTTCTCAGCAGCACAGCCCAGGGATTTCCAGTGTGACTCTCAGCAGGAGCTGAACTTGCCTTGGGATCTTAACTGCCTTATGCTGGGGGAGCATTTTGGAAGTCTGATTTGAGCGAAGGACGGATTTGTTTTCAGTTGGCATTGCATGCATCCTTAGGAGGTGGTTTGTGATGGTTCTCTGTATTGATCCTACACTTGCAAATTGATCCTGTCTCTTTCTTTTCCAATTTACAGCAGTCAGGGGCCTTGATGCCAGAGGCATCAGAAGCCAGCTTCCCCAGAGTTGAACACTAGCCTTAGGGAGAAGATCCTGCCTGTAAAAGGTGGGCTTTAATTTCTGCTGTAGCCTCCTGACGGCTTCCAAAGGGATAGTTCCATGAACACTTACCTGGCTGGGAAGTACAATAGGAAAATTCTTTTATCTTGGTCAGGACATGTAGCTCTGACAGCCCTCTTACTGAGGGCAGTACACAGCTTGCTGTGCCAGGTAAATCATTTTCCCGAGCTGAGGGGCTGGGCATTGGTGTTGGAAATGAAGCAGCTCACGAAGTTGGGGTTGGGCAAGCTGATAGAACGACAAAAAAAGGGGAAACTGGCTGCCTGCATGTGAGGAGGGGTAAAAACAACTCGAGTTGTCTGATCTGTGAAGCACAGAGGTGTGAGTGCACAGCTTCAGCAAGGTAAGGATGCGTGATAAACCAAAACAAAGGAAGCCTGTCGCCAGGGAGCACCTCTGTGGTTTTGCTAGCCTGTCTGGAATGTCATTCTGCTTTTCTCCTCTTGATACAGGTGACTGAACAGTGGGAACAACCCATCTGAGTTTCCAGGGGCTAAAGCTGCCAGGTCTCTGCAGGTGAGAGGAGGATCCCTGACTGCTGTTGGCACAGTGGACTGCCATGGAAGTGGCTCGGCTCCGGGCCGAGGACAGAGCTCGCACTGCCATTGCTGCTGGATTTCTTGCATGCAAAGAGCCCCTGAGATGGTGGCTTTCTGGCCTAGGGCCAGGCCTTGTCTGAGGAAAGTAGTGGTTGTTGGTGTGTGACAAGGGCAGGAGCTGGCTTGGAGGATTTCAGAGGAAGCTGGGCTTTCTCTCGCCTAACCGCTGCCCTCATGAGGGGTTTCTTTTTAATGCATAGTGACGAGAGCAGCTGCTGAAATTGTCATATTTTGGTGGGCTGCCTGATCTGGATCGGAAAGCACTTTCGCCTTGACATTGAAGAAAATGTTTGTGCAAGAAATACAACGTTTAAATGTGCAAATCTTCACAGCTGTTCCTTTGAAACCCTTGCTAATGCACGTGTCACTTTGGGTTAGATTCCTTTTCCCTTCCCACCTCTGACCCCGTGTTCAGGTGGGTTTTTTTGGGGTGTTTCACTGGGCCTGTTGTCTGGCTGTTGTTAATGGTGCAGAAAGGAATATCGTTGTGGAATACTGAGCTGTGGCACGTTAAATGGCTCAGTAACTGAAGTCATCATTCCTTTAGGTCCCTGGGGGAATGGGATGTGTAAAACTTGACTGTTTTTATCTCATGACTGTTTGGAAACCCATTTTTGCTTATCTGCCCTCAGTTTGTCTGTGGTCAGTTCTGTGCTGTCCCTGTGCTGCTCACAACTCTGTTTTCCATCAGCTGTCACAACTCACACGGTGTCGTTAACTTTGGAGCTTATTTTTCCACAAAATACAGCCTTTCCTATTGATGGATCATGGTAGAAATATCATCTGAACTAACGGTATTTAGGGATTTGTGGCTATGCTGTGTCTTGACATGTACATTTCATTTGTAAATAAAAGGACGTTCCAATTCCAGGCCTGGTTTCCCTATAGTGGGTGCTCCCAGCTGGCCACAGCAGTCAGTCAGGAAGCCATGGGCAAATACAGAGGGGAAAAAGAAGGTTTGGGGCAGGGAGAGTGGTTTTTTTTGCAGGGGGAGTTGTGGGGGGAGTGGAGAGAGAGAAAGATGGGTTTAAGGGGAAGGGTTTGCAATGGGAAGAATGTGGCCAGCAGGTCGAGGGAGGTGATCCTCGATCCGGAAGCGGCCGGGGCGGAAGCGGAAGCGGAAGGGGCGGGCTCGCGGAGCCGGGCGGCGGCGGCGGCCACGGCCATGGCCACGGCGGGGGGAGAGCCGGGATGCGCCGGGCAGGGATGCGAGCAGGGATGCGAGCACTACCGCCGGGGCTGCCGGCTGCGGGTGGGTCAGCCGGGGGCGCTGGGCTGGGCAATGGGTGTGTGTGTGTGTGGGGTGTGTGTGTGTGTGTATGTGTATGTGTATGTGTATGTGTGTGTGTGTGTGCCCCGATCCCTGCCCTGATCCGTGCCGTGCCCCCTCCGTTCCCAGGCGCCGTGCTGCGGGAAGCTGTACCCGTGCCGGCTGTGCCACGACGGCGCCGAGGAGCACCAGCTGGACCGCTTCCGAGTGTCCGAGGTGCAGTGCATCCGCTGCCACCTCCTGCAGAAGGTGCGTCCTTCTTCTGGGAGGGAGGGAGGGAGGGGTGGGAAGGGGATCGCAGCAGGGGTCGGTTGGAAGAGGCCGCAGTGGATCGCCTGGGCCCGTCTCTCTGCTCGAGCAGGGTTACGGGCTGAAGTTGTGTCAGGGGACGTTTAGGTTGGATCTCAGGAAAAGTTTTTTTCCCCCAGAGGGTGGTCGGGCACCGAACAGGCTCCCCAGGGCAGTGGTCATGGCACCAAGCCTGACAGAGTTCAAGGAGTGCCTGGACAACGCTCTCAGGGACATGATAGGATTGTTGGGGACTCCTGTACAGGGCCGGGAGTTGGACTCCATGATCCTTGTGGGTCCCTTCCAGCTCACGATATTCTGTGATCCTAGAGCACGTGGCACAGGATTTCATCCAGGCGGCTCTGGAATGTCTCCAGTGAGGGAGAGTCCCCACCCTCTCTAGGGAAACCTGTACCAGTGCCTGGGAAAGGTTGTTCTTCCTCACGTTCATGCAGCACTTCCTGTGCATCAGTTCTGCCCATTGCAGACCCCCTCAGTCATGTCTCATCACGGCTGAACAGGCCCAGTTCCCTCAGCCTTTCCTCACAGCAGAGGCGCTCCAGTCCCTTACTCACCTGCACAGCTCTGCGCTGGACCCGCTCCAGGAGCTCCGTGTCTCCTCTTGTCCCGAGGCGCCCAGAACTGGTCAGAGCTCCAGCTCCAGCTGTTCCTCTCCCCTCAGGCCCAGCAGCGCTGCGAGGGCTGCGACAGCCTCTTTGGCGAGTACTACTGCGACATCTGCCACCTCTTCGACCGCGACAAGAAGCAGTACCACTGCGAGGAGTGCGGCATCTGCAGGTGCGGGCGGGCGGCCGAGCCCCGGCTCCTCGGGGAGCTGGCCCTGCCCTGACAGCCTCTCTCCTCAGGATCGGCCCCAAGGAGGATTTCTTCCACTGTTCCAAATGCAATCTGTGCCTGAGCCTGAGCCTCCGAGGGAAGCACAAGGTGAGAATACGCCGCTTAACTCCGCGTCTTGAAAAAATAACACCCCTGAAGCTGGTTGGGCCTCAGCCCCGTCTGAGGCCACAGGAACAGGGGGAGCAGTGGGTTCTGCTCCTCTAAATTCACCTAAAAGCAGCACAGAGGCCACCAGTTAAAAATACAAGAAATTTACACGTTGGAACGTTACAGTTTAGAAAAACACAGATATCTCTACAACAGAATAACTTTTTCTTCTCTTTTCCATTTACAAAGTGCATTGAAAATGTCTCCAGGCAGGATTGTCCAATATGTTTGGAGGTGAGCTGCTGCTTTTCATCTCTTGGGTTACTGTGAGGCCCTATTTTTGACCGTGTTTGAATTAATTGTTTTCTCTTTTGTCTGATACTTGCCTTGAAACAGGATATTCACACGTCTCGTGTTGGAGCCCACGTTCTGCCATGTGGTCACCTTCTTCACAGGTAAAGCAGATACCTGAGAAAGGGGAATAGCTGCTGCCTGGTGTGGGGTGTTTATTCAGCAGCACTTTGTATCAGCTGCTTACAACTGGTTTCTAAGGGACCCACGTGTTGGGGACAGTCTGTTTCACCAGTAAATATTTTCTTTAGAGGGGTTGTCTTCCTTCCGCAGTTAATTTTGAGGATGGGAAGCTTTCCTCTCACTTGCCCTCAGGATACCTTTAACTTCTGATTTGGGGATAGCTGTGTGCCTTTTTCCTGTGTTCAGTCCAAGTCAGTGTTACCAGTCAGTAAAAATTGCATTCTTCTTACTGAACTGCTCGCTGTGTTTCCTTTTCAGAACCTGTTACAACGAGATGCTGAAGGAGTAAGTATTTCTAAACATCTTACAATATTATCATAGTCGAAACATATTGCTCCAGGAGGCAAAGATCATGTTGCCAGTTCTGTACCAAATAACTTAAAGTTGATTCCTAAAGGGTTAAAGGGCATTTAAATTCCAATTCTGTTTGAAAGAACTTCCTGTTTCGTGGTGTCTGTTTGACTGGTACAGTATGAAACTCATCCTTTTGAGTGGATTTGTTTCATGGCCTCGCTCCATCTTCTGATTTAGACATTTTTTTCCCCTTCCTACCAGAGGTTACAGGTGTCCTTTGTGCATGCACTCGGCGTTAGATATGACCAGGTACTGGCGCCAGCTGGACAACGAAGTGGCACAGACTCCCATGCCCACAGAGTACCAGAACATGATGGTGGAGGTAAGACATCAGCCTTGCGCCCGTGCCTGGTTTTGGTGGAACTGTGCCTTGGGGTTACTGGCAGTAGAGGGCACTAGGAAGTTGTCCTGGATCAGAAGTCAGCCTGAGGGGTAGGGAACGATAAGGAAATGTCATGTGTAGGCTGACAGTATTTCTTAATTCCTGCTGCCACAGCTTCTCCCTCTCTTTTCTCCGTGCAGATCCTTTGCAATGACTGCAACGCCCGCTCCACGGTGCAGTTCCATCTCCTGGGCATGAAGTGCAAGAACTGTGAGTCCTACAACACTGCCCAGGACGGACGGTGCCGGCTGCCCTTGGAGGAGCAGTGACCAGGACACTTGGCTGGATGAGGAAGACTCTGCCGCGGAAGAGGCTTCCCAAAAAAAACCCAACGCTCGTCAGTAAAAATGTGTTCCAAGTTCAAGGAGCCCTTGGCTGCGTCAGGGAGGAGAGAGCTGAGGAGGAGAGCAGCGTGATGAGCAGCTGACGCAGCAGAAGATGTTTTGGGGGCAGCTGAAGGTGAGGGGAGGTGGAGGTGCAGCTCTTGGGGCTGCAGCTGCCGGGGAAAATGGGTCGCTTTGAGAGCAGCTTTTTTGGATCAAGCTGACATCCGCAGAGCCGCGCGCCGGGACGGCGCGTTCCTTCGGGAGGACGTGTTTGCTCCAGGGCCTCGGAGCCGTCGCCGCGGGCAGCTGGAGAGGGGGAGCTCGCAGGAATTGCACCCTTTGGCTTCGTGTGGTGACACCTGTGTGCACAGAATTCCCCCAAAACAAGGCTGCCCTGCCTGCCGTGATGAAGGGCCCAAAAAACCGAGGTGCAAGGCCCCCGTTTTCCCCTGGACACCCGTCCTGACCTGCTGCTGTCCCTTCACTCAGGCTCCTTTACCAGCTGCAGTCACTTTTACCCCCATTTCTTCCTCATTTTGCTTCGTTCACTGGGAAGGGCCAAGGTGTTGTAGGGTTTTAGACATGTACACAGCTCGATACTTTGATTTTAAGTACCTGAAGTGAAGCACATCCTTGACATCGGGCTGAGCCTGAGATGTTCACTGAAGCAACATGAGTTTAGAGGCACTTGAGTAGTGCAGGGAACAATTTTTTTTTTTTTTTTTTTTAACAGTAAATTTCATTGTGGGGAGAGAATGGAGGGTGGCTGACTGCCTTAAAAAAAAAAAAAAAGGCAAATAAAACCCCCAGACCTGCCCTTCTGCATATGATATCCTGCCCGAGGTGTTTTGCAGTCTTAAATGTCACAGAAAGTTCTTGATTTCTGTGAATTTCACATGCAAATAGTTTACAGTAATAAGATATTAAAAAAGCTCAGTTACTCTTCGTGTTACAACTCCTCCTTTTGTATTTGTTCTGTTGTAAAACAAGAGCTTTTCTTAATCCAACAGTGCCCCTTTCTGTATGGAATATTTAGGATTTGGATGTTAGCTGTTGTAGCTTGCCTTGACTGGAGTATCTTTTTCTGGAGCACTTTTCTCACTGCTATAAATAAATGTAAAATAACATCTCTATTAAAATAAACAAATTACACTGTGTGTGATGTGCTCTCCTTTCACACCCGCACTCCCTGGAAATTCCCAGGCTGAGTTTAAACCATGATTCACTGCTGAAAAATGGTTGGATGTGGGGATGTGTGAGGCCTGGGACGCTGTTAGGAAAACAAGTGGGTTTAGCAGCTCCTGTGTTTTCGTGTTTTTGTGGTAGAAGCAAGACTCCTGCTGCTTTGGAGCACCCTCTGGATGTCTGCTGGCACTTGGTGACTCCACCACCTTCTGGGATGAAGACCTGCTCCCAGGTAAGCCCACCGGGGCTCCTGTCAGCCTGCAGGAGTTGTCATCAGAGAAAACTCAGTAGCCAAGTAACCTTTGTCTTGCTAGTGGTAAAACTGTGCTGGTCAAGCCCACAACCAAGCAGGTTTGATGCTAAACTGGAGGCTAATTTTATCCCAGCCGGAAACATTCCTGTTTGCATTCCAACCACAAGAGGAGGCTGAAAGGAAATGTATAGTCCAACTGAGCTTTGGAAGAGCAGCTCCCTCCCCAGCTGGACTTTGGTGTTGGGAAGGAAAATGATTCTTGGGGGTGGGATCCGGGTGATTTTGGCCTTTTGCTCTTCTGCTTTTGGTGTTTGCCTCTGGAAAGTGCGGGAGGGAACCTGATGCCACCAACCAACCCCCTGTTCCACACGTTTATCTGGGCACTGAGCCCTTGACTCCCTTTGCCAGGGAATAAATGGCACAGCAAAAAAAGGAATGGCATTTTGAGGGGGTAAAGATAAATGGAGCAGGTAAAGACGGGCGAGGAACTGCTTTATGGGATGGAAGGTGCCGCACGGAGCTTTGCTGCCCTGTCCCGTGGAGATGCAGCCGACGGGAGCGGGAAGGATGCTCGGATCAGGGCGGGGTGATGATCCCGGGATGAAGGCAGCTTGGCTGTGGGAGCTGTGGGGAAGCTGCCTGCCACCCAGAATCCCCCCTGCCTCACCAGGCAAGGGCAGAATCGGGAGCAGATGGGACCGTCGCTGCCTTTTGTGGGAAAAATGTGGTGTTCCAGCAGGCGCAAGGGCCGCAGGCACACACAAGGTCAGGGAGCTATTAATAAAGCCAGGGCCTGCTGGAGTATGTGGAACCCGGGAGAGGGACTCATGGACACAGTGAGCAGAGCAAAGCGGGACCAGGGGGCTCAGACAAGCCCTCCATCCCATGGGAATGTGCCGGGTCATGGCTCAGGGGCCAGGGGGAAAGCAGATCCCCGATTTTGGGCTGGTTTCATGGCTCTGGTGTGGGTTTGTGTTGCTTCAGTAACATCATTTGGGGTGGAAGTGGGAGTGTTTCCTATTAAACCTCCAGGACAGCCATCCCCTCCCGGACAGCCATCCCTTCCCGTGGCTTTTCTGGTGCCGAGGCCGCTGTCTTGCCCCTGCCTGGCTGAGGAGGAGCCATCTGTTTTTAAATTTCCAAGTGGAAGGAACGCAATTAGGGAAAGGCTGGTCATGTGGTGCTATTTATATCTCAGAGGGGCAGGGGAGCATCTGTCTCTGCAGCTCCAAGCTCAGCCCAGGGGTGTGCTGGGGCCTCCGCGCTGGAAACGGGGCAGTTTCCTTTTTTTTTTGCTCCTTGATGGTCCCAGTTGGAGCTGGATCTCTGAAACCTGAACCTGTTCCTTTATCTAACAAGCCTTATTGCTCCTGGGAGCTGCAAGCAGGAGTACCCCTGCTAACGAGTCCTTGCTCCTGACTCCAGTAATTCCGCCGAGAGTCTGAGGAGATGGCGCTCGGAAGCATGTGGATGATATATGGGAATACTCACAAATGAGCAAAACAAGGGCATAATTAGGGAGGCCAGAGGGAGTCTGGAAGCAGTGATAAAGCAGCCTGCAGCTCTCTGGCGAGGGCAAGGCAGGAGACCTGGGGAGGGATCACGTCATCCGCGGCGCTGCTGCTGCCAGACTCCCGCGAGGTCGGGGAATGGGATGTTCTGCACGGAGCTATGTGAACTATTTTTTTCCTATATAAATAAAATATCTCCGAGGCGAAATGGAGCCAAAGATGGGGGGAGCTGGGGGGAAGAGGGGGGAGTTGAGAGGAGGTGGAATCGAGCCAAAGTTGGGGCAGCCTTTGGGAAAAGTGGGGGTTTGCTATTTCTGTAAATAAAACAGGCCTGTGGCAGGGTTAGCATCATTGTTTTTGAAAAGAGAAGGGAAAAGGGCCTTTTTTATGGCTTGTCCTGGTTGTCTTTTCCCCTTCTTCCCTGCTATAATAGTGTGGGACAGGGACCCCTGGGTAAGCCAGAGGGTCTGAGGTGGGAATGTGAGAGGGGTGTTTGCAGCCTTTGCCTGGAACACAGGCATCCCCCCTCCGAGGGCATCATCCCCCAAAACAAAGTGCTTTTTCCACTTGGCAAATACATCTGTTACTCTTTAGGCTGTCCCGTGCCTTGGCCCGTGCTGGCAAACAGTCCTGTAGATGTAAACACGTTATCCATGTCCACATTATCCATGTCACGGGGCAGCTGCATTGTGAATAAGGGCACTGGGGATGGTTTCTGGTCCCAGGAGCTTGTGGGAAGCCAAGGAATCTGTTTTCACCGTAGGATATCCCCAAAAATATGTACAACCTCTTCCTTGCACTGTAGGCAAGAGAGAGTCATTCTTTTTGACCACCCAGACACAGGGTTCATCAGGAAAGCTGACACCCCATTTCTGTTCTCTTTCATGAAAAGGGAATTTAATCCCTTGAGGGTTATATATTTTTAAGTAAAGGTGACAGCTTTTCTTCTCTCTATTCCCTCACGTATTTTAGCAGCAGCATTTGAGCAAAGTGAGTGATTTTTTTAATAGTTTGGGAAGGGCTTTTTTTTTTTTTTTTCAATGCCAGCTCTTTGCTGTTGCTGGACAATAATGAGCTGTAGATCACAAGGAGTGAGGGAGAACCTTGTCTGTGGGGTTTTGAGGAGGGCAAGCGCAGCATCCCGACACCCAATTTGCTTCAAGAGAAGAAGGGTGCTGATTTTTTTACTCAGTTTGTGTTTTATTTTAACCAGGGTGGCCTAATTCGCTGCTTCTTGGGTGCACAAAAGGTGAAAGGTGAGTTTTGCTCATCCTGAGCATCCTCGGAGCCTGCACTGCCCTGTGTGTGCTCCCAGCCCCAAGAGTTTTCCAGACTGGCTGTATTTGGAAGGTGCAACAACCATTTCCTGCTTCTACCGAGTTTGAACTAAAGGAGGCTGAGGAACACTCAGTATTCACGGCAGAGGTGGAAGGATGGGCCACTGAACAGGCCAAAAAAGGCTCAGGAGGAAAAGGAAAATGCAGCATAATTGCACTTCCCTTTGGGAAGCAGAGCTTGGAGGAGCTGCCCCCGTTTCTCCCGACCTTTCCAGGTGGCTGTTGTGGTGCCGGACGCATTTGTTACACTCACTTGATGAAAATCAGGAGATGATGCATCTGCTGCAGGAAGCAATCACGGGAACGCCCCAAGCTTTGATGTTTCCTGGGATGCTCCATTTAGGAGTCAGGGTGAACAGCAGAGCCTGTTTGCCAGCCCGTGCTGGGACGCCCCAAAAGTTTGCAGCGTCATTTGGCGCTGGTTTATTTATTAAGGTCACGCAGTCTGAGGGCTTTGCTTTCCACTGCCAGGGAATTTAGCCAGGGGGAGAAGTGGCTGAGCATCCTCTTCCCAAACCAGCCCTGCCATCAGCCACCCGCAGTCTTCACACACTAAAAGCTGAACACGAATTGGAGATTAAAAGGACACTCCGCTGTATTTTAGCAGCCAAGATTTTTAAGGATTAAAAACAAAGGTGTGGAGCAAGCAGCCACGTGTGTGAAATGGGTGGTCAGTGCACCTTCCCATGGGCTCCCAGGCTGTGTTTGGGACAAAACCCCCACCATTAAGTGGGAAAAAAAGGAAATTAGGAGCTTCTGCACAGAAGCACCTACGGGAAAAGAGAGGGACTGAGCATCCCCATAACTGTTCATGGTCCTGGTGAGACAAGGCAAAGAATTTCACAGCAGAGCAACACAGGGAAGTGATTTTAGGGAAAGGGACAAGTGAAAGCACAGGAGACCCCTGCACACTGCTGGCTGTGCCTCAGCAACCCCCCATTCCCCCCCAAAATCACAGAGCAGCGGCATTTCAAAGGGTGCCACGGCACTGGCTGAACCTCCATCCTCTCCTTCGACCTCCCCATCCCTTCCCCCGGGGGAATTTGGGTTCCCTTGCCTACGACAAGTGGTTGATGTGCCCCAGGACTAAAGGCCAAAATTCAGGTTTATTGTTGGCACACTGCACACCCGCCCTCCTCTTCCTGTGCTCCACCAGACCCGCCGTGATCCTGCCCCTGGCAGGGGCTCCTGCCCCTGGCAGCATCTCCTCGACAGCGGATGCTCTGCTGCTGAAGCGCTTATAAATTAAGGGTTTATGGGGTTGTTTTTTTTTTTTTTCTTCATCCCTGCTAGGAATCATCGTAGAGAGGGTTGTTGTAGTTGCCCCAGGAGCCGTAGTCGTGGTCATCCAAAAGCCTTCCGTAGGAGGAGTGCCTGCCAGGGAAAGCAAACCTATTGATTTGGGGATTTGTCAGCTATTCTACTGTGGGGTGAAGAAATACTCGTGCAAGGGCTCCCTTTTAAGAGGAAGCACCAGGGCAGAAGGTAAGTCCAGGTTGGATTTTGCCCTTGTTGAACCAGACTAGACAGGGCAGGGAATTAAAACAAGACCTTTGCTCATCTCAGCTGTCAGCAGAGCCTCATTAGGGATGCTCAGCACTGGGCTGTGCTGCTGTTTATTGTCCCAGTCACAGCGAGACCCACGGCAGCAGCTTTCCCAAGGGATAATTACTGGTTAGGGCTATGCTGAGCAGTGTCTCTGGCATTTGAGCGAGGCTCTTGTAAAATGAGGAATTAGAACTCTGCTTTCCAGTATAGAAGGGGTAGGAAACGCAGCCGTGCTGGGACCAGAGGCTACACATCACCCCACTGTGCTTGGGGACAGCATCTCCTCAGGGCTTTGCCCTTGAGCATCACCCCTGTGATGGTGA